GGGGGGGGGGAGGGGGGGAGGTACGGGGGGTGCCAAGCGCGCCTGTTGAAACTAGGTGCATCTCGGGTCTCGGGTATTTGCGGGGAGCGAGGAGGTTGTCGCACCACCTGGATTGTAGCGACAACCGGTGCTATTCTTTTCGTTTCTTCTTGTTTGCTATATGGTTGTGCGTTTTGTCCGATTGAGGCGTCGTGGGCGTCGGACGGAAGGGGGCACGAGACCAGCCATACACTCACTGTGATAAACCCTGTCAATCGTTAACTTTACTTGCTCATTTCGCCCACCCTGGTCTTGTCTGTTTTCCTCCACGCTTCGGGTCGATCGCTGCAGAATGCAACCGCCTTTTTTTTTTTTGACACTCTGTCGCTGACATGTATCCCACGTCTCTTTCGATGGTCCAACACGTATCTGTGTTGGGTGGTACACAGGCGAAGTGCGCGATGTCCAAGCTCGAGGAAGCCTCGGCGGAGATGACGGAGCTAAAAGCGAGTTGTGAGGGAATGGTGAGTCCATCGAATGTCTGTGCGACATCAGTAATAGATGATTTTGTTCATCTGCCGAGCGTCTCTGCAGTTCATGCTTAGCGGATACGTATGCCTTTGCCGTTTTAATTTTTTTGTGCCCGACATGAGCTAGCTGTTTGTAGGGACGGCTTATGTGACACGAACGTTCTAGAAGAAGCACGACCATCTCGAAACACCATCAAGACCTTGAGGCGCACGGCGGTTAGACAGAGATGGACTGACTGAGAAGCACCGAAGGGATGCATTTTGCGCCACCACGGGAAGGTGGGGGGCCCGCGGAAGAGAAATATTCCCGTGTGGCTAGTGTACGTCTTCACCTCTGTGCTCTCTCTCTTTAAGAAAAAGTGAAGGTAAATTAACAACGTCGTATGTGTGTCTTCGTCTCTGTCTCTCTGTCTCTCTGTCTCTTTTTCTCTGTTTCTCTGTCTGTCTGTCTGTCTGTCTCTCTGCCTCTCTCTCCCCCCTTCTCTCTCCCCATTCTGCCGTCAACAAGTACCGGGCGCAGACGGAGGGTAGCAACGCTCTCCGTGAGGCGGGCCTCGCCAACAGGAACGTGCAGCGGCTGGCCAGCGAGAACGCTGCCCTGGTGGGGCACAACAACAACAAACAGAAGATCAAGCACCTCCAGGTGAGCGCGGACGGTACATGCGGGGGGGGCCTCTATGAATTGCGGGTAAACTCTTTAACCCGCACTAAAGAGGGCACCACCCAACTGTAGAGGGTTTGGAGCACATGTCTGTCGAGATTGATGATTAGTTTATGGTATTTTCTTGTTTGCTCAAACGTCTCTGTGTTGGCGAGGGGGCTGGGACGCGCGTGGCGCTTTCGCACCGTATTTTGTCTTTGTTGAACACGACAATTACCAACGACGTTGGCAACAGATTCAGGAAACAATCAAACACTAGCAACGACGTTAACTTTCTTTCGAGCGCTTACGTGCATGCCTCTCTTCCGACAAACGGTGTCTAGTTTCTCTGGTGCTGACACGATCGACACGTTCCTGCCTCGCCATGCTGCGCTAACCGCCCCGCCTCCCCCCACTCCCCCTCGAACCCAATTTTGTTTGAAAAAAAAAACAAAAAAAACAGAACCTCAAGAAGGAGAGTATCCGTCTTCAGAACGAGAAGGCGAGGCAGGCTAGCGACCTCGCCCTCGCGATAGCCGTGCTGGAGGCGGTGGGGGTCCTTCCGAAGGAGGTGAGGGCGACACAGAGAGAGAGGGAGAGAGACAGAGAGAGAGAGATCATGAAAATGTTGATATTGGTTATTTGCTCCGCGTGCGGGTCGATGGCAGGCGTGACACACACGCACAGACGTGAATTTCTCTACGTCCGCTGCCGTTGCTGTCTTGACTCCGGAGAGAAAGAAGCCTTGCAACCCTCACACGGATTCCCAGATCATGGGCCTTAAAGGAGTATTTCCCGTTTTTTACCGCGATGAGACTGGCGTGTTTTCACTGGTAACGCGATCGATGCTAGGAATGGAGAAGAACACACCCGAACACGACACACCACGGCAGGAGTGCTGGTGGTGTTGTGTCTTTTGCCCTCTTGCAAGTTTTCTGAATCCGGCGACCAAACCCTGTGGTACAACCTCTCCGTGCCCCCCCCCCCCCCCCCCCC